GGCTGATATGATAGTGGCAGGTGGCCGACATCATAGTGGCAGGTGGCCGACATCATAGTGGCAGCTGGCCGTCATCATAGTGGCAGGTGGCCGACATCATAGTGGCAGGTGGCCGACATCATAGTGACAGGTGGCCGACATGATAGTGACAGGTGGCCGATATGACAGTGGCAGGTGACCGAAATGATAGTGGCAGTTGGCCGACATCATAGTGGCAGTTGGCCGACATCATAGTGGCAGGTGGCCGACATCATAGTGGCGGGTTGCCTGACATCATAGTGGCAGGTGACCGAAATGATAGTGGCAGTTGGCCGACATCATAGTGGCAGGTGGCCTACATTATAGTGGCAGGTGGCCAACATCATAGTGGCCGGTGGCCGACATGATAGTGGCAGGTGGCCGACATGATAGTGGCATGTGGCCGACATAATAGTGGCAGGTGGCCGACATCATAGTGGCAGGTGGCCGACATCATAATGACAGGTGGCCGACATGATAGTGGCAGGTGGCCGACATGATAGTGGCAGGTGGCCGACATCATAGTGACAGGTCGCCGATATGATAGTGGCAGGTGACCGAAATGATAGTGGCAGTTGGCCGACATCATAGTGGCAGTTGGCCGACATCATAGTGGCAGGTGGCCGACATCATAGTGGCGGGTTGCCTGACATCATAGTGGCAGGTGACCGAAATGATAGTGGCAGTTGGCCGACATCATAGTGGCAGGTGGCCTACATTATAGTGGCAGGTGGCCAACATCATAGTGGCCGGTGGCCGACATGATAGTGGCAGGTGGCCGACATGATAGTGGCATGTGGCCGACATAATAGTGGCAGGTGGCCGACATCATAGTGGCAGGTGGCCGACATGATAGTGGCAGGTGGCCGACATGATAGTGGCATGTGGCCGACATAATAGTGGCAGGTGGCCGACCTCATAGTGGAAGGTGGCCGACATGATAGTGGCAGGTGGCCGACATGATAGTGGCAGGTGGCCGACATGATAGTGGCAGGTGGCCGACATGATAGTGACAGTTGGCTGATATGATAGTGGCAGGTGGCCGATATGATAGTGGCAGGTGTCCGATATGATAGTGGCAGGTGGCCGACATGATAGTGACAGTTGGCTGATATGATAGTGGCAGGTGGCCGATATGATAGTGGCAGGTGTCCGATATGATAGTCCCAGTTGGCCGACATGATAGTGGCCACATCAAGAATCAAGTTCCGATGAGACTTTACTGATGTGGGTCTAGACATGTGCGGACAACACATCCTGTCCTGTGTCCTGTCTGAGTGTATTGAAATTCTGCAGGCAAAATGTTAACTATGCCATCTATCCTGCACTGACTGGTATAAACAAATCTAGGGAGAACACAACTGGTCGTTGTTTGCAGCGAACTGATTACAAAGGCGGTTTGCAATTAAGAAAGAGCGAGTTTCACTTTTTCTTCTTCTCTTCCTCGAATTTAAACGCGAGTAAAAAGTTCTGGTTTGTTTCGTCCCTGCTGAAGTTTATTTTTGCACCAAGACTTGAGTTTTACGTACATGCCGGCTTTACAGACCTGTCTTATTTGTATGTAGACTGTGGATTCTTGGCCAGCCAAGCAGTCATGCAATCTGAGTTTAAAGAAAATGCCTGTAAATACTCGGTTTTTACGACATGTTTATTGCAGAAGGGGGAAGTGGGTCGGGAGGGGGGGGGGCAGTGGGTCTATTCCCTCACCCACACAATGGAGACGCGGAACCCACACAGTGACGTTTCGATTTAGTTGTTGATGTTCAGGCATGTGCCAGAAGACCACGTTGCCTTGATGTCGACAATTTGTCGAACATTCACGAAGCAGTAGGAAATTATTGAAGCTAAAATCGACTAGTGAATTAGAGTGGAGTGGACAGGGTCGTGCCTTGCCATGATACAGAGAGCCGGACGGATCAGGCGGCACACCAAGGGCGTGGCATCAGCTGTGAAATAAAAACACAAGTTTAAAATTTCATCGGCGGCATATCAAAGACTCGCCTGCGGGTCGCAAGGTCGTGGGTTCAAATCTTACTGGAGCTGGTCTTTATTTTTTTCTTCTTCAAATATGACCTTGGCTCCTTGAGTGACCCAGCTTTGAATTGGTAGAGGTACATCCAGGGGAGTAGAGACGGCCGACATAACGTTGACCTAATCACCGTTCGAGTGCCAATTAGTCTATCAAATACAGGCCTGTGTGCCCAATACGTCTAAAGGCTAGGAAAAGGGTCCTTTACTTTACTTTTTATTTCGAAGACTTGCATTATAATGAGAAAATCCACCGCACCGCCCTGCAAGTAGATTATACAGAAGAAACATTCAGACATTAACCAGAGTGAACTTTAAAGGAAACACCATCATGGATTTGTAACCTAAATATTTTGACGTTTTAAAACAGGACACATAGAACTTGACGAGTAGTTTCTGACTGCAGAGCTGGACAGCGTGCACGCGGCAATAGATGCTCGTTAGACAAGAACAGAAAATGGTTAGCCAGACAGATGGACAAAACCCTGTGGCGATATTTATTTTTTTCAGTTAGGTAAAGTGGGAAAGACATTCCTTAGACAGCCTTCGTGCTTGCTAATAATTCTCATTTTGAGAAAGGAATAGTGTTAAAAAGATGATTTTTTTTATTGCATTACTTTTTTTTTTGGACCCCCCTTCAAATGTGGTCAATAGTTGCTTCAAGGGGGAACAAAAACGTATGGTTTTATTTTTGATGGAATCTTTGAGGATGTTAATTAACTGACACATGTAGATGAATACTTAAATACTGTATTTGGATTCCAGACGTTTAATGGTATTAAAGAGCTTCTACATCGACACGGAAAGATAATCGCTATTGCTGCCTATCACACAATGGTTCGCAAAAAGTTCCTCCCCACATCGCCTAACGGCAGCAGTGGAAATTGACCATGATGATGTTTAATAACGCGTTTAAAAAGATATTGTCATTGAGATAGGTTTCTCCCTAGAAAGTGTTTCGTGTCACACTTAATGTTACATTCAAAGGCGTGAAGATGCTACCTCATGTACGAATTTACCATTTCCATCTTCAACATTGCTTTTTGTGGCTATCTTCGAAAAAAAAACCGGTCTAAAATTATCGAGGCTAAAAATATACCCTAACAGGGCCTCAGTCACATGTCAATTGCAAACTTACAGCCACTTCCGCCCCCACCGAGAGGGTCTAAGATAGATGGCTGGGACTCACGACCAGCAGTTACTGCATCTCCTGCAGCTTCCTTCATTTTATTTGCTCCTGAGTCCCAGCCATCTAGTTTAGCCCCAATCCACGCAGCGCGTAGCGGCGTGGGAGAAGTACCCCTGTGGCGGTTTAGTCCCCGGATGTCCGCAATTCGGCGGCGGCAGTATAGTCCCAGGAAGTCCTCAATTAACATGTGACTGAGGCCCTGTTAGGGTAAATTTTTGGCCTCGATAATTTGGGACCGTCATTTGAAGGATAGCCCTTTTTGTTTGTTTATTTCCGACAGCAGGTGGCGCTGGTGGTACCATTTGCTCCCAGCCTTCTGTCTTGTGGACTGACAAATGATTTCAAGAGATAATTGTTTCTTCAAGCCATAATGCTAAAACCATACTTTCTTCTGTGTAACTTGTTTTCTTTGTCACCGTGTGCTCTTTCTCACAACGTTCCTAAAGCGTGTCGTCTGTCCTCTTGTGGTGCGAATCTACCATCTTTGAAGATATATAAATATTTTTTTTGTTTTTGTGTATAAAACTTTTGTATATGCTCACATAATTCTCGTTACTATTCCTCTATAAAGCAATATCTCTAAACATAATATTATAAACAAAATCCCAGAATAACTGTATTGCAAAAAAAGTTCCTACAGCAAGATGCAATAACAACTGATCCTTGCAAAACATTGTGCCGAAAGTAAATAATTCTACTTTAAAACGAAATGTTAAAATTCGAGGTCCACAGAAGGGCTAACCGCCTGCCGAAAGCTTTGGATAAAAGACGAACGCTTTATCTCCAGCTACAATCCTTTTAAATATCCACAAAATTGCACTCGTCAATTGAATGATGCGGCAGTGAAACAAATCCACGGACTTCAGAAATCGAGTGTAACCCCTTGACTACTGTTGCTTTGAGACCCCGAAGATCATTCTAGGTAACCGTGAGAATGTAACGGCTTGACCCCTGGATCTCTGAGACCCCGAAGATCATTCTAGGTAACAGTGAGAAGGAAACAAATATTGTTCTTCCGTGGCGGAAGTAGATGAGGGGGTTACAAAGTGTTATTAGAAAATTGTAAGGTGAAACAGACGAAACAACTGAGTAAATAGTGTAAGGCTGAAAACGGTGAAATGCGAAGATGAGCTGGATAGACGTGCACCAGGACAGAAAGGGCAAGATTAGTTGAAAGAGTATGAAACCTAATATTATAATTGGCTTTACACCAATTACCCAAGTAAATGGCTGCTTTACAGTTAAGAGAGCACACTAGGTCTCATCGTTCTTTGAGAGATAAGAAACATTGCAACAAATTGCGATCTCAAGCCGGGATAACTTCTTAATGAAATTAAATCATGGGATTTGTCGTTTTTGATAAACACAACAGATGTTGAATCTTGAGGTTAACCAGTCTTACCATGTGGCCAGTTGACGTGTAGGAAGTTATTCACTTATGCGTCCACTCTAAGGGGGTCATTTAGTTAACATCGATCGATATAATGCCTTCAATCGTGTGGACAAGTAGGCACAAACAGCTGATGTGTTCAAAAGTAGTACGTCATCACCTTATAAGTCGACTGATAAGATTTCCACTTTCGAATTGTCTGGTGGCACATCCAGTTACGTGTCTCATTGTTGGACGTCATTCCCTAACGTGTCTGCTGGCTGGACACCCACTCTTGTTGGACAACCACTTACGAATCGGCTGATCGGCATACACTTACATGCCAACTGGTTAGATGCCATTTACTTATGTGTCGACTTGTTGGTGGTAGTTACCTTAAGCGTCGACAGATGTTGACAACGACGATATCCTAGATTCAATTTCCTCATCGATGATAGTCTCTGTCTCCTCGAAATTGTTGACCTCATTCTTCGGCGGGGTTGCTATCAACGGGGTTTGTGCCTTGGTTACTTTCCGCCGCAAACCTTTCTTCCGGGGTCGACGAAGCAAGGCTGTGTTTTGATGGAGAAATTCAAGAATTTAGGTTTGGTAACTGAGGATGTGTACATTAAATACATGACGGTACAAACACGACCTAAATCTTTTAATACATCAAAGTGCAAACATGACTTAAATCTTTGAGTACCGAGGACCTCACAGAATTCACTCATTGTTCTTTTCAAAGTACACATTGATTTATTTTTTTGGTCGATCTTTCATTATGTTCACGAATTGTATCTCACAATGACTACCTCAACGTTAGAAGAAATGAAAAATTATACTCTTTTTTCTTGTCTTTCTTCTTCTCTCACCCTGTTCTGCTTTTCCTGATTTTCCCCCATTTGATCCTGTTATTTTCTTTGCTGAAAAAGATGTTGGTCGAAATATTTTAGTATGATTCGTGTTTTTCACATAGATTTTATTATTCACAGTGTGGTGTACATGAAGTTACGTCTTCAAATGTAACTTTTAACGGCTGAATGAAAAACGGGTAAAATACAAAATTGTGCACATTTAATTCTTTTTAAGTTTGGTTTTCCATCGATCAAGTGTCGTCTCTAGAATAAAGGTTAGCCACACTGGATCTCCAACAGGTTCCCAGTAAACTCTCAAACTGCTTATCCTCCATCTCTTGATGTTGTCCTCAGACTTTCTGTGATGACCTTGCTAGGGCCTGGGAACGGCCTTGATGTTGTGCTCACACTTTCTGTGATGACATTGCTAGGGCCTGGGAACGGCCTTGATGTTGTGCTCACACTTTCTGTGATGACATTGCTAGGGCCTGGGAACGGCCTTGATGTTGTGCTCACACTTTGTGTGATGACATTGCTAGGGCCTGGGAACGGCCTTGATGTTGTGCTCACACTTTCTGTGATGACATTGCTAGGGCCTGGGAACGGCCTTGATGTTGTGCTCACACTTTCTGTGATGACATTGCTAGGGCCTGGGAACGGCCTTGATGTTGTGCTCACACTTTCTGTGATGACATTGCTAGGGCCTGGGAACGGCCTTGATGTTGTGCTCACACTTTGTGTGATGACATTGCTAGGGCCTGGGAACGGCCTTGATGTTGTGCTCACACTTTCTGTGATGACATTGCTAGGGCCTGGGAACGGCCTTGATGTTGTGCTCACACTTTCTGTGATGACATTGCTAGGGCCTGGGAACGGCCTTGATGTTGTGCTCACACTTTCTGTGATGACATTGCTAGGGCCTGGGAACGGCCTTGATGTTGTGCTCACACTTTCTGTGATGACATTGCTAGGGCCTGGGAACGGCCTTGATGTTGTGCTCACACTTTCTGTGATGACCTTGCTAGGGCCTGGGAACGGCCTTGATGTTGTGCTTACACTTTCTGTGATGACATTGCTAGGGCCTGGGAACGGCCTTGATGTTGTGCTCACACTTTGTGTGATGACATTGCTAGGGACTGGGAACGGCCTTGATGTTGTGCTCACACTTTCTGTGATGATATTGCTAGGGCCTGGGAACGGCCTTGATGTTGTCCTCACACTTTCTGTGATGACATTGCTAGGGCCTGTGAACGGCCTTGATGTAGCGACCAGGCCCTCGCCTGCGGATCAGAAGTTCGTGTGTTCGGGTCCTGATGGAACCAGATTTAATGTTTTTCTGACTTTGGCTACAAGGTTGATCCAGCTTTGAATGGGTACCAGTAAAGTTCTGGGAAGAAAAGACGGACGGCTGGAGGCTGACCACATCACCCAGCAAGTGCCAATTAATCTACGAAGTAAAGGTCTAGCCCTTTAGGTGCAATAGGCCCGAAGGTGTAGAACAGGGTCTTTTAGATAATGTTGACTAGGTTGCTAGGTAGTGAGGTCTCAAACTCTTCCACGATAGACTGCTATGTACGCTACGGTCCCAATAGCGCCTATTGTATACCACACACACTTTGCTACTTCTTTGTCATGTTGAAGTTAAAAGTCCAGAGGATTGACTTCATTGCACGGTGTTTTAACCCACAATCAATTAGAATGGCTAGCTGCTTGCCGGAAGTCTCAAACAAAACACCAACTCTGTAGCTCCGGCGACTACCACCAATGATACTCATAAAACTGCGCCCGTGAACGGAACAACGCTGCAGTGAAACGAACACCAGACCTTCATAATGCGAGGCAGTCAGTTTAACTTCTTCGCCACAGAGCCTTCTGATTGTTTCTCTTTACGCTGATCGACATAGATTCGTATGCCTTGTTCATCGTCGCAATCTTTGTGTGCATGGTTTGACAATTGTTTTTGTTTTTTACTAGGACACTACTGCTACTTCGATGGCGTCTGTGGCTTAGGCGTTGCGAACGGGCTTCGTAATGCCGTGGTGCTAGGTTCAATCCCAACTGCAGACGGTTTGTCTTTGCGTTGGTTGAGTCAGTGACAAACTACTGAGCGTAAATGTGCTTAGAAAAACCACAATAGCCACCGCCTCCCCCGCCCATCCCAAAATTACATGCCTTACAACCCTTTCATTTGTTTGCTTTTATTTTTATTTTTTATTTTTTTTGTTATTTTTTAGTTGTAGTAGATAATTGAACGTTAGTAAGTTTGCCTTTGCCTCCTTGAACCTCTGTAGACATCAACATAAGAAAGCGGTCTGCTGCCCAATCGCCCAATTGAGCGAGGTATATACCTGAATTATGATGCGCGTTCGCAAGGCCTAGGTCGCAGATGACGACCGTGATATCATCTTATATGTGGCCGTTAAATTTAGCATCTCATCAACACTGGTCTGTGGATTGGAAAGTCGTGGGTTCAAGTCGTGACGGGGTGGCGGCCTTTTTTTTTTTTTTCAAAAGACTGATAATTGTGTCCCTAAAAGAAGTAGGAAAGGGAAACAGAAAGGAATAGAAGGAGAATGGGGAGAAGAGGAAGATGATCATTATGAATAAGGTGACGAAGATGACTGAAGCTTTACCTCCTAACTTCACCACCACAATGGTAAACATGCCAGCGATAAATATACACAGGTATGTCAGTTGCGTTTTGTACCCATCTTCATCGTTGTACACCCGGACTGTGGAGAGATTGAGATGTTTAGAACATGGGAATGTTTCAAAATATTGTCAACAATATTCACCGAGTAGAGCTTAAATACACATAGATTGTGTTCAGGAGAATTACACTGGACTGTCAGAATAACTGACAATGACTGCACGGAAATGGCAAATGAAAGTAGAACACTACATGCATAAATGAGAAGCAGACAAACAAAGTTCTTAGCTCATTTGGTGAGAAAAGGAGCCCTGGAAAATATCGTGACGACAGGAAAGATCACTGGTAGAAGGGGCAGGCCAAGAGAAATAGTGGTGGATGACTTAAAACAGTGATATGTAGAATTATCATCAGTGGAACTGATCCAGAACACGCAAGGCTCAGATCTGTAGAGATGCATAAACGCCGACGACAACTAGCTCGGCACTTGATGATGATGATGATGATAATGATGATGATGATGACGATGATTCAGGAGAAAAGGAATACCATTCATAAATTTCATTCTAAGACAAACAAAATTCATTTTGAATTAATGACTTTCATGCCAGTTACACCAAGTGTTTGCAGGTCTGTCTGGATATTATCTCTTCATCGTCTTTTTGGTCTCACTCGTGGTCTACGATCGTTCATCTCCCTGGTGTATACAGTTTTTACTTCTCTGTCATCTGACATTCTTTCAGTATGCCCCAACCATTAGCTTAACCAGAGAGATGAATGGGGGCGGGTGATATCTGCAGCAATGAACATCAAGGGATCGGAATGCTGAAGAAGAAGGCTAACCAGAGAGATGAATGAAAGCGGGTGATATCTGCAGCAATGAACCCCAAGGGATCGGAATGCTGAAGAAGAAGGCTAACCAGAGAGATGAATGGAGGCGGGTGATATCTGCAGCAATGAACCCCAAGGGATCGGGATGCTGAAGAAGAAGGCTAACCAGAGAGATGAATGGAGGCGGGTGATATCTGCAGCAATGAACATCAAGGGATCGGAATTTTGAAGAAGAAGGCTAACCAGAGAGATGAATGGAGGCGGGTGATATCTGCAGCAATGAACATCAAGGGATCGGAATTTTGAAGAAGAAGGCTAACCAGAGAGATGAATGGAGGCAGGTGATATCTGCAGCAATGAACCCCAAGGGATCGGGATGCTGAAGAAGAAGGCTAACCAGAGAGATGAATGGAAGCGGGTGATATCTGCAGCAATGAACCCCAAGGGATCGGAATGCTGAAAAAGAAGGCTAACCAGAGAGATGAATGGAGGCGGGTGATATCTGCAGCAATGAACCTCAAGGGATCGGAATGCTGAAGAAGAAGGCTAACCATAGAGATGAATGGAGGCGGGTGATATCTGCAGCAATGAACCTCAAGGGATCAGAATGCTGAAGAAGAAGAAGATGCCAATAACAGTTTGTGTAGACACCACACTACTCAAGTCCGTTTCTTGGTCAGCTATGACTGAGCTACCGTAATACAGAGGTCAGAACTACATGTCTTCTGTTAATTCAGCGTGTTGAACGGTGAACAAAAAAATCCTGACATCCCGCGCTGTGCCAATGGCTCCGGCGGCAGAAGGTACCGGGGAGGATACTAGCCTTGTTCTAGGAGGAGGAAATGCAACCCGAAACCGTTGTGTTTTGGCCGGGCAGAACAGGCCCTTAGCCTTGGCTGGCAGCTGGTCTAAGGGAAAAGATCCGACAGGCGGTCAGATGAAGCACTACTCTTTTGACGTGGCAGCTTCTGCCAAAACTTACTATTTTTAAGTTTCTTCTAACAAGGCAAGTGGAGAGAGAGAGAGAGAGAGAGAGAGAGAGAGAGAGAGAGAGAGAGAGAGAGAGAGAGAGAGTGCGAGAGAGAGAGAGAGGGTGCGATATATATATATATATATATATATATATATATATATATATAGGATGCGAGAGAGAGAGAGAGCGCGCGAAAAGGGGGGGGGGGGGGGTCATAATGCACAGTCAACATTTCGTCTCTACAATGCTGCCAAGGCTTTGTGAAAGTTCTGTACGTCCTCATAGCACACACACACACACACGCACACATACACACACACACACACACAAATACTATCGTCTGCACAGACGGAAAAGTACTAGCAGCAACAAGTATTTTAATACAGTATTTTTTATTTGAAAGTCCATCGTGTCCGAATTGTCTGCCAGTGATCTTCTGCCACCTGCTAACAAAGTCCAACATGTGTCCGGTAAACCAATCGTAAGCTCGTCGCTCGGTCGTCCAGGTATGCTGACTGTTCTAATCAGGCTACCGCGGCGGCTTCTTATCTCACAGTACCTTTTGCGAAACCACCAAGTCGTCTTGTCTCTATCCGAAAGAAAAACACCATCCGGTAATTTCGTGCAGCAGGGTACCAGCCCTGAGCTTCATGAACTCAGGTGGGCCCACCTCTGAAAACGTCTAGGAGATCGTGGGCCGAAACGTTTCTCGACGAGGATAACTTCTACTGATGACTGGTATATCCCTGCTGTAATTGCTCCCTGTGAGTTTATTCCCATTTCATCATAAGACTCAACTGTTGTAAATATTTAAGAATCTTCTTCTCTTCTTCTGCCTTTCTATCCCCCAATGGAGCATAGGCCCTCAACCAACTCACGCCAAGTCGTTCTATCCTTCGCCATTGCATGGAGCTCTCCCCATGTCCTCCCCATCTTTCTAACTTCATTCTTCAGCTCTCTTCTCCATGTGTTTTTTGGCCTTCCTTTATTCCTATGCCCCTGTGGGTTCCAATGCAAAGACATTCTAGTTATGCTGTTCTCCTGTTTTCTCTGTGTGTGCCCTATCCAACGCCAGCGTCTTTTCCTCACCTCCTGATCCACTGGAGCCTGTTTAGTTCTCTCCCAAAGTTCTACATTAGTTATTCTATCATACCATTTTCCCCCCCCTATTCTGCGCAGGCACCAGTTAATGAATGTCTGTAATTTATTTGTAATTGCCTTGGTTGTTCTCCATTTTTCCGCCCCATACAATATTACTGATTTGACATTATAATTAAAAATGGTTAGTTTAGTATTTCTTTTAATTTCTGTTGACCTCCACACATTTCCTAGTGCTATGAAAGCCCCTCTTGCCTTTTTTTTACTATTTGTCTGATTTATTCTCATTATCTTTGTCTTTTCTTTATGGATTTTCAGACCAAGCTGCTGTGATCTCGCATTAAGTATATTTAATTTATCCTGCATCTGATTCCGTGAATGGGACAGAAGAGCAACATCATCAGCGAAGTCCAGATCATCAAGCTGTTTTGTAGGGGTCCACTGAATTCCATTCTTGGTGTTAGCAGTTATTGTTTTCATAGTCCAGTCTATAGCCAGTAAAAATAAAAGAGGCGACAAAAGACATCCCTGTCGCACACCTGTTTTTATTTCAAATGCATCTGTTAGCTTTCCCTAATGAAGAACTCGACATTTCATGTCTTTATATGTTGCCTTTACTAAGTTGATAATTTTCTGTGGGATTCCATAGTGCCCCATCAATTTCCAGAGAGATTCCCTATCAATGCTGTCAAATGCTTTTTCATAGTCCATAAATCCTATGTAAAGTGATTTCAGTTCAATGCTTTGCTCTATTATAATACGTAATGTGGCTACCTGATCAGTACAGGATCTGTTTGACCGAAAACCTGCCTGCTCATCTCTTAGCATTTTATCAATAGCATCTTTTAATCTTTCCAAAATAATTCTACTTAATATTTTTCCATGAACTGACAGCAACATAATTCCTCTTCAGTTTTCACACTCCTGTAGATCACTTTTTTTTTTTGGGCAGTTTCACAAGATATCCTTCTCTCCAGTCTGCTGGTATTTCTACGGTCTTCCAGACTTTACTGAATAATCTATGTAGCAATTATGTTGATGTGTTTACGTTGGTCCTGATGGCTTCAGCTGGGATACCATCTGGGCCTGTCGCCTTTCCTTCCTTGAGAAGATTTATAGCTTTTCTAATTTCCTCTTTGGATGGTATCTCACAGTTGATATCCAGTTCCATTTCTAAAGGCTGGATATCTGGGGGAACCTCTAGGCCTGGTCTATTTAGAAGCATTTCAAAATATTTAACCCATCTGTCCATTTGATCTTTAGTGTTAGTAAGTACCTTTCCTTGACTATTTTTGATTGATCCAGTTGGCTGACTATATTTACCTACTAAGTTTCTTGTGTTACTGTAAAGTTCTCTGAGGTTTCCTTTTGCTGCTGCTGTCTCTGCTTTTTGTGCTAGATCATTTAGATATTTCACTTTATCTGTCCTTATATGCCTTCTCACTTCCTTGTTGGCTTCTGTGTATTTCTCCTGAGCTCTAGCTTCAGCAGCTCTAGTTTTGCTATTGTTTAATTCTGCCTTTTTACTTTTCCTATCTTCAATCAGTTTAATGGTTTCTGGTGTTATCCATGCTTTATGTTTCCTTTCTTTCTTGCCAAGAACTTTTACGCAAGATTCATTCCAGATTCCTTTGATCTGATCCCAGCAGACTTCTTTATCTCTGAGTAAGAGTAACAAGTGGTAAAAGATCTCTTTACACGCCATTGGCGCGTCGGGTAAATGAGGCTAGTACCGATTCAGTGCTGGGTCTACTTGCAAGCAAAGGTCATGCTAAAAAAATATCTGTCCTGCGTACTGTTTTCAACCCATGACCCCTTCAGATCCGTAGTCAAGTGTCTATCTGCTATACCCCGAAACACCCCCCACTCCTCCTCAATCCCCATGTATTTATAGAGTCCAGAGCATCGGATGAAGTGCATTGCTGGATCTTTTCTCAAGGGTGTTCCAGTGTATTAGGAAATAAACATGAGTACAGATTAGTTGGCTGTTAGTGTAATATCGGTGCACGATAAGGCGGACGTGGTTAAGGACTTAGAGGAGGAGCCCGTTTATAGGGAACAGCAAATTGATCATCAGAGTTTGGTGAGAGTGACACAACGAGGAGTGAAGAGGGACCCTGACCGATACTCGAAGCTCAGAAGAAAAGAACAGCGGACATATAATCGGACCGATACTGACATCATTGTTACTGTAAGTCTGCGCTGGCTACTGAAGACTGGGATGAAGCAATCATGGGAATGACCCGAGTTCAGTGATGGCGGCTGTTGAATCAACGTAGTTCAACTCCAGAGCATGTACTGGATGATTGCCCTAATTCTGACAGCAGATGCCAGGGATCTGACCCACTGAGCTGCACTGCGACCTGCTATGGGAGACCAATGGCGACCTTAGACTTACCGATCTGTCTGTGGCCCAGCCAGTATTGCATACTTGTTAAAGCAGGGCTGACGTTGAATATAGAGGATTAGGAAAAAGAAGAAGATAAAGACGACGGAACAAAGTATTTCAGCACATCACAAAACACAAAATCACAAGGTACACACGTAACTAGCGAACGAATCTTATGGTAATTAGGATTTGATTATACTTTTTATTTCAATACAAGTTCAAACAAATCAAGTCACGAGGTTAACGTAATATATTGCGATTGCTTCTTCAGGCATAACTTTTCTTTGTAACTGTAATTCTAGACCTTATTTTGTACTAACTGTGAGGGTTATCCCTAAATATATGCTCCGGACAGAGAAAAAGTAACACTTCTGGTGGCTACTGTATGCTTTTAATGCAAGAGTATGCTAGTGCAGAAGAGAATGCAGTTTGTCAATCTCTTCACAAGGGAGTGACAAACATTCTGTGTGTTTTTCGTTGGCACAGGAGCGGAGCAACTATGGGGTGACCAGATGCTATAGAGATGAAACTAATATTACCCTAACCAATACCAAATATTCACGCCTGTTAAACTGTCTTAACTACAAAATCTGAACGACGACCGTTTATTTCCGAAAGGGGAATGACACGGAATGTGTGTGCCGTGCAATATCTAATTAAAAAATGTCAAACCAAAGAAAAAACATATTCGGCCATCTCCATAGTATCACAAATACGTAGACAGCCTTTAAAAGCATTTTACCTGAATATATTAAATAGCACAATTACATGAATATGCAACAACACAATACGAATACAAATACTAATATATCGCTTGACTGAAGTTTCTCCGAAAGAAAACCACGGGCCTGTAAAATCGCTGGCACGCGTATGATCGACGTAAATAAAAACTAGCCAAAAAAAGTTGTGAACGACAAGGGCCTACAACTCTTAGATATGTTTGAAATTAAGCCCCTCAGCCAAACAATAACAATAACAAACAGTAAATAGAAAAAGCCGTTAGCAAGAAATGTACGAACCTTGGCACTGAAGCCGATAGACTTGATGGCAATATAGCAAGCACAGATCCGACAAACATTAACATTTGCAGAAGCAGATTTCAGTTGTGTAGAGAAAGGTTTGCTACGCGAACATATAGACTTAGTGGTCAGTTTCAGACCATTACAGTAAGACTTCGACTGGAACGACTGGTAATGATGACAGAAATACTAGATGCATTTTCCTCACGTGCTGTTCTTAACCAAACCCATTATTTGATGACCAAAAAAAAAAAAAGAAAATTTGATGACTGCATCGAGGTGTACTGGGCAATAATACGTTTACTAGTTTGTTATTTGCCAACAACAGTACACACCAGTGTTTATATCAACGCAAGCTTCCTGCCGTCACATCGCAGCTAAATCCAAAAGTGTATTTCGTAGTTACGAACAACGTTTTTAACCCCCGAAGCTATCGACGCCGATACATTTAAACAGCATCACCAAACACACGGCACTATACAGAACTTTGCTGTCATAACAGTGCGCCTAAAAGTATCTTTCTCTAGCGTATTCTCAGCCCTAATAGCTAATGCACTTTCTGTGTTTTGTTTCCACTATTGTAAAGGTTTGTCTCTGCCTTGTGAAACGGTACCCTCCCCATCGTTCTCTCAAGACCGCCATAACGTTTAACATGACCAAAATATGTCAGATTTTGGGACAAGATGCTGTTTGGGCGCCGATGTATTTGCTCTCCAGGATTGTGTTATATATATATATATATATATATATATATATATATATATATATATATATATATATATATATATATGAAGATATTTAAAATGCAAAGGAGAAAACTCGTCCACTTCGTCATGATTACTCTCCCCTTCTTGTCTTTTAAAACCACTGGGCATGTATTGAAAAGCCTACATGTATACAGCAGAGACACATACTTACTGACATTGATCTGGACCGACTGATTGCACATGTCATGGGCTGGGTCCTCACAATATACCCACGGGGACGCCCTAGGGAAATGGGCGTTGTGGGCGAAACAAGCGATTACCAAGTGCTGGTCTTTTCTGAAGACTTGCATCTCAAACGTCTGCTCCAGTCGTTCGCTACACAGTGGTTCGCCTGGCTCAAGTGGCACTAAAGGAGACAACGCCATCATAGTATATCAGTTAATCTATTTCTTCCTTGAAGTGTTAAACAGCCACAAACATCCGTTCCACAGATCTGGCTTATCTATATGTAGACGGCAGTTTCCCACCCCCCCCCCCCCACCCAGCCCCCCCCCCTGGTGCATGCACTCATGCTTCAAAGGAAACGCACCACGTGATTAACACGACGCAGTGGGTCTTTTCTTTTTCATCCTTGCCCTCCCTCTCGCCCCTGCCCCCCCCCCCTGCCCCCTTCCGCCCCACATGTTGTCCCCAGAATAGACAAGAGGAAATCATTTAAATTAGATACAGATGATTAGAAAACGGCAAAAAAAATATTACAAAAATGGACCTCTTTGAACTAAATCATAAGACGCATTAAGTTGGATCCATATTTTATAGATCTTTTGACACTGGTGAGAGATGTCAACATTATGTTCGCCGCTTTTCTTTCCTCGACATTTCATGACAAAAAAATTTAGATGACTCGGTACGGGAGCCTTAAATCGCTTTAAAATTTAGTCGGATGCGGATTTGATGTCAAAACCTTTAGACCGGCAAGCAAGTGTTCAGCCAATGGGAAGCCTTGCCTCCCATGACGATTAATTAGGTTAGTTGCGTATCCTTTACAGGACGTTGCAGAACCATTCCCAGTAGCTCCTGGCTGTTGTGTGGTTTCACTAGGCAAATTTACGTCCAGTAGTTTGCCATTGCTTTCTGGACTGTCGGCCTCATGATACCACTGTCAGAACCAACGCAAGGCGCATGGCACGCAGCTGGGAATCGATTTCGGCATCCCGGCATTAATACTTTAGTTAAATATAACTATAGGTGTCAAAAAGGAACAAACATAATCGAACAATGCGTCTGGTTATTGAACATGGGCGGTTAATTATTGCACACAGAAATTAAGATAGGTGAATCAGCCATGTGTACATGGGGAATTAGCACCTGAGACAACAGATCACGCCCTCCAAGAGTGTCCCGAATACAGCATATCAAAGCAAAAACTTCTGGCCACGAAAAGCTGCTTTGGAAATCAAACTATACGGGTCGCTGAGTGAACTACAAAAGACAGTGAAATTTATACTAGAGATATCATTGCAGGTATAGATAACATATTCTAAGCGAACGAAAGAAGAAGGGAAAAGAACAGTCATGTCACGATTTTGTTTTTCATTCGTGGATGCTTTTCTATGATTTACTAAACACACACACACACACAAAACATGCCGAACAATATCTTGATGCCTCGGAAACGTGGGTTTACAGAAGAATTCTTAGAATTCTTTGGACAGTCGAGGAGAGCAGCACAGATGTTTTGAAGGAGGCAAGAGCTAGAAGACAACTTGTCACAAAGATCAGAAAGAGACAGTCATCATGTTTTGGTCATGTTATGAGAAGAGAGAAACTGGAAGCAGTTAGGATCATATGGAAGATCTGTGGAAAGAGAGACAGAGGAAGTCATCTTGAGAAGATTCTTGCCAGCCTTTTGTCTTGGCACGCACTGATGCACGTAGTTGCAGATCGCAGATTGTGGAGAGGGATAATCACCCACGCTAGTCGGCAAGGCACCGCATGATGATGATGATACTTTCCTATAAAAGTGTATGCTGAAATTATCATATTAGGTTTACACACACACACACACACACACACACACACACACACACACACATTCACACAAGTACATGTACACCCAGACAGACAGATAGACACATACGTACATACATTAATAAATAAATACAGATAGACAAACAGACAAACACACAGTGGGACAGACAGACCAATGGACACTCACACACATACATGCATACACACACACATTGACCCCTACGTACACACAGACAGACGCGCATACGTACGTACAGATGTGTAAGTAAACGTACCTTGTTGTAACACTGAAACCCGTTTGTCGCTCTCATCGATGTACTCTATGTCTTCACCACGATAGAGCCTCCATTCAAAACTGCCAAACCCCGGTCGGCCTAAATTTGCGCAACACTTGGCGACGACCTTTGTGCCTTCATACACCCACAGTTCGATTTGTGCTGGGTGAACACTTTCTGTTTCTATTGTAAGCTTTGGAAATTTTGGGAGAACTAAGGACAGACGAATAGCGAAAACTTTGGTAATTAAAAGTGGGCACCAGACTTTAAGAATAACCATGGCATTGTGTCAATAAAAACCCGCTATACTACTCGTCAAAAGTCAATGGCACCTTAGGCAAACCTTGGTTGAAACTATAAAACAATTGTGACATAAACGTAAGTAATAGATGTGGAACCGGCATTTATTAAATACCAAATTGACATGTTGCGTAAAGAAATCAAAACTCACATTCAAACGTCCCGATGCTGTAAAGTGTGCCACCCACCTTTTCAGAATTCAAGCAAAAGTTATTGGACAATTCGGCATTACAACATCGACCAGCTTGTAGCAAAGCATTCACGATAGCATAGACGCTTCGAATGCCCACTAGGGTCTGAAGTGGTGATTGTTAACCGTCTTTGACCAAGGACATCCCAGAGGTGATTACCCGGAGAAAGGTCAAGTGAATGGCCTGGTCACGCCATCCTGATGATCCCATGTTGCTGAATAAAGTCATCCACCACAGGCGCTAGATAGGGCTCGAGCATGATCATCTTGGATGATATCGTTACCATCTATGACCTCTAGAGCAATGTGATCAGTTCGTCTCACGACCCGGTTCTGGTATCTTGGACGGTCAAGTTGCCTTGGGTGGTGTAGAGTGGGGTCCTGCTATGTCTGCAAAAGCCAGACCATAACAGGACCCCCTACCAAACCGATCCACCTCTCGGAATGTGTTAGGTAATTGCTCTCCTGGTCGTCTCCAAACTCAAAACCAGCCATTAACTAATGATACAATAAAGCGAAATGCATCAGTCATGATAGCTCTTATCCATTGTCGGCTTGTCCATCGGATGTGCTCGTGACACTAAGAAACACGGGTTGTGCGATGAGCAGGAGTAAGAACGATTCTGACAGCAGGAGATCTAGTATTCAGTCAAAATTTATGTAAACGTCCGCCAAGGTGAGATAAATACAGTTAGAAAGTGGAAGGTTGGTGAACATAGTATAGTGTTTAGTGATTGCTAAATCTGGTTCTCCTCTTTGTCACAGGGTGTTATTAATGTCTGGAGGCCAGGTCAACGATCAGTACCCTAACAGCCATCAAGTGTAACCAACATACACCTCACAGTATGAGGAACCTTCAGTGAGCACCTAACGTCCAGGCACCAATGTCTGGGGTTACATGAGACTACAACTGTCCACTGTGTATTGATAATCAACGTCAGCTTGTGTCCTCAACCCCGGAGCTTTTTTTTTTTTGTGGGTGTGTGTTTTGTGGTCATGCTGCCAATAACTGCCACGACCAGAGGGTGGCTTAGAGTCTAATATATAAGATTTTAAAATTAACACGGAACCTTCCACAGTGAGCATAGTATTAAATGCTATACTGTTACAGAATACATATTAAAAGTTTCTGTCGACTCCAGTGACTTGTGAAGAGTGTGATTTGATGTTGGACACACGACTTCAAACATTCTCAATGTCAACTGTTTGAAAATGCTGCACCTCAGATGAACAGGACCTCCTGGACAGATTAGCTGTTGAGACCAGAAAAGCGGCTATTCAAAACACCACTTCCAGTTAGCTGGGTCCATAATTCCACAGTTTGGCATTGATGATAATTGATGATACTGTGGGACACCAGGAGTGCATCTGGAATAGGACCTTCTTAGATTCTATAAAGAGTTTACCCTGTCATGCTGAATCTATTTCTTTACATTCTAACTGGTGTTGCATTGATTACATATTGTTTTGTCATTTTATATTCTATGTTTAGTGTCAATCCTTCAGAGTTTTAAAATGATATGGAATGCATTTTGTATTACTATTTCATTCTGTGCTTTGTTAATTTGACTAGAATAGGGTTCATATATAGTCAGGGGGCTTACAAATAGTGGGGAAGTCAGACCAAGTGGCGCCTAGGAATATTTGTTAATTCTTTAGTGCCATAATTTGAGTCGCCTCACCCCTGAAGTAGGTCGGATGATCTTTAAAGCTGTGGGATACCGCTTAGACCATTGCAAGCCAACATCTCTGCACTCAAACTACTTTAAAGTGTCTTTTTGTTTCATTAGGGCATACCCTAATAAAGACACGTGACACCAGCATTATGTGACAGTCTTCCAGTTTAGATGCAGAACTGCTAAACAGCATGTGGTGGTCTTACAGGTGGGATGTAGAACTGCTGATCCACACGTGGTGGTCTTACAGGTGGGATGTAGAACTGCTGAACCACACGTGGTGTTCTTACAGGTGGGATGTAGCCCTGCTAAACCACACGTATTGGTCTTACAGGTGGGATGTAGCCAGGCTAAACCACACGTGGTGGTCTTACAGGTGGGATGTAGAACTGCTGAACCACACGTGGTGTTCTTACAGGTGGGATGTAGAACTGCTGATCCACACGTGGTGGTCTTACAGGTGGGATGTAGCACTGTTGAACCACACCTGGTGTTCTTACAGGTGGGATGTAGCACTGTTGAACCACACCTGGTGTTCTTACAGGTGGGATGTAGCACTGTTGAACCACACCTGGTGTTCTTACAGGTGGGATGTAGCACTGTTGAACCACACCTGGTGTTCTTACAGGTGGGATGTAGCACTGTTGAACCACACCTGGTGTTCTTACAGGTGGGATGTAGCACTGTTGAACCACACCTGGTGTTCTTACAGGTGGGATGTAGCACTGTTGAACCACACGTGGTGGTCTTCCAAGTGGGATGTAGAACTTCTGAACCACACCTGGTGTTCTTACAAGTGGGATGTAGAACTGCAGAACCACACCTGGTGTTCTTACAGGTGGGATGTAGAACTGCTGAACCACACCTGGTGTTCTTACAGGTGGGATGTAGCACTGCTGAACCACACGTGGTGTTCTTACAGGTGGGATGTAGCACTGCTGAACCACACGTATTGTTCTTACAGGTGGGATGCAGCACTGCTGAACCACACGTGGTGGTCTTCCAGGTGGGAGGCAGAACTACTAAACCACACGGTGTGGTCTTCTAGTTGGGAGGCAGAACTAATAAACCACACGGCCAGAGTTTATACCGGTCATGATACTCTATATTTATCTCTGATCATCCTAGAAACAGGCTCCCTACCGGAGGCCTAGTCAGTGTGGACACAACTGGCATTTCGTTTAAGTTGCAAGTGTTTGTCTGAGAGGCAAGGAACCAGTAGTCTGCACACAAAAAAGTAGGATCAAACAGATGTGAATGCGAAACTCAAACAGAGAACGGTCTTAAAGTTGACGAACAACCAAGACTTTTATCTGCAAGATGCAGAAGAGAAAGAAGAAGTAAAGACGTGTGCTACTTTGATGACTTAGACATTTCCTTGCAATATATACTGCTACAGTAATTTATACGTTGGGTAAAGTCATGGATGACTACTTCACCTTAGAAAAACATTCTAGCTCTATTCGTCTAGTACATAGAATGCCATTCATCAGGGTCCTCCTTTACAGTAAGTAACACTAACCTTTCACTTCTAATGGCAGTGACGTTTGAAAGTTGTTTTGCATTTGTCCCCTGGCAATGTAAGAAAATTCACACATATATCGACCCTCGTCCTCACAGCGAATAGTCGAGATGGTCATCGTCCCTGTCATGGTGGCGCTGGTAACCCCCGGGGTTCCACTTGTATTGACATGAATAGACAAACGATTGTGGCAGGCGCTACCCGATGTCGGTAGTCCAAGTTTGGGTATCTGGTAGTAATAGTCACTGGCGTTTCCTGGGCTCAATGGAAGAGGCTTTATAAAGAATTCCAAGACTTGCTCGCTGGGTGCAGTTACATAGCTGCACGAAACACTGCCCGTCTTCCCTAGAGTTGTGTCGCGGCCAATAGAAATGATTCCGTCGAAAGCTAACGTTTGTACTGTGGATATAAACACAAAGTAGTCAGCGGAAGTGCAATCGCTCCAGGGCGAGCGAGGATCAGAATGCGTTTGTAACCAGAGTGTTCACTATTCCTATCGGGGTAACACTTGACATTCCGGGCATGACCATATTAGGCCCGTCCTTCTCCTTAGTAACCACGATAAGTCTCAATACTTACAACCCCCCTTCCCCAACCATCTCTCCCCAAGTACCTCATAGACACTTTCTCCTGCAACAGTCTTTCCAGTTGCGGGTTTTTAGTATAATCCAGTTTACTTTTTACCTCTCGCCATTGAAGAGATATTACCTTTGCCATGTGCGGTTGCAGTACGCCCTCAAGTGGGACTAGTCTAGCCGACCGATCTGCTTGCTCATTCCAAAACACTCCTCTATGGCCCGGGCAGAATATATCAAAAACCATTCCAAGTGAGAAACGATAATTTGCTTCTCAACTGTCTTTATCTTAACAATAATGTGTTAAGTGTGAACCGGATAAAACTAATTTAAAAAAAAAAATGATAACGGTAATATATTGTTTAAGAACTTGTTTTTTTTTTTTTTTGCAATAACATTTATTTTAAAGAACTGGTTCATTTGTATGCAGACTTCTGATTCGCCACTATTAGGCAGATGTAGCTCCTTCGAATCGATGACCTTAAATTAGCCTTTACGACATGCTTGTGAGGATAGCAGTGGACTTTTGATATTTTCAACTTAAACAGGGCCTGGGAACCCCCACCAGGATTTTTTCATTCATCTGTCTGCAGAACGTTTCTCTCTCTAGCACACGCTTGAAAGCCTCTTTGTCCAGCCAATTCTTCAACCCTATGTGCTTTCATAGCCAATGAATCTTTAATGTCTCATAGTGGTTTTCGTAGAGATTTCCGACAACTGTCCCCTCAGTCACTGCTCTCCAGGTTACCATGACATTTGACATGACTAAAAAGCTTCAGCTTTCAGTACAAGGTGTTGTTTTTAAGAAAATTGTGTTCGATGTTCAGGTTAGAGTGAATAAATTTGCAGCAAATTTTTCTTGGAGGAATATGTTGAATGTTGAATTGAGAATCGACATCACAGAGATCGGGACACCCCCAAAAGCTCTTACTCCCCATCTCCAGCTGCAAGCGAAGAGTTACAGTTCCGATGGTACCAGTAACTGTCTTATTGTATATCTGTCTGGCCTTTCCCCCGAGTGTCAAGCGTCAGCCTGATCCACTTGTAATTACTCGCAGTGCCATTCTCCTCAGACCGTAATGATATACCTATTCCTCGACACTGTTCACTCGCTCCCTAAGGACTCTCACAAAATCTAGCTTGTCATATATCAGTTCATTGCCAAGTGGTGCAAAATCGGACAATCTATCTGCCTGTTCATTTCGCACTACACTGGCATTACCTTGAAAAAATATCCAAAGGATGCTAACTACCCGGGACCTCTGGAGGAATAGGCACTATCCAGTGCAGTGGTGGATCAATCAATCAATCAGGGGCCGTCTCTACAATGAAGGTTGGCTGCAATGGATCTCCAACAAGCCCTGTCTCTTGCCCTTGATGTACACTCACTCATACTGCTGTTCATCCTTCTCTTGATGTTATCCTCCCACTTGTAACGCTGCCTGCCTCTTGCTCGCCTACCTTGAACTTTCCCTCTGGGATGATCTTTACAATACTGTTATGTCTTTTAATGTGACCAAAATATTTCACTTGTCTCTGGGTTTTTTTTTTTTTTACCTAGCAACTCTCTTTTCATTCCCAATTTCCTCAGTACCTCTGTATTTGATAGCTTTTGTTGTGGATGCCAGATATCAAAGACACTCTGGGCACGAACGTGCACCAGGTATGACGTTATCAAAGGATCAAAAGATTTTTTTTCAATGTTTCTGTCTGCCATGATGAGGTAGGTGTTCTGCAAGGCAGTCGTTACCTAATGATGCCAGCAATTAAATGTGCTAGAAACAAACTGTAATTCATTTTTGATTCCAATGTATGCCAGCAATAAAAAATAACTGACTCCACAGATGATAAGATATGTACGAGGAATAAGCAATGAAGGGTCTTACCAAGAAGCAGAATTTCAAACGATGTAAAAAGGAAGTATTCTTTAGCCATTTCTACTCATTTTAACAACCGCCATGTTCTTTTTGGACGATTGTGTCGTCTGCATAAACAAAACTGTGCACTTGTTTTGTACACGAAATAAATACAAGCTTAAATAAATAACTCCAGCGAGTCTTATATTTTTCCTTCTATAAATCCGCCTTTTTTCGTGGACTTTTTAAACATAAACAGTGAAAATAAGACGACCAGTCATCAGTCGATTAAGCTCTAATTATGACAGGGATGCAAAGCTGGGCCAAAATCGTTGCGCTGTCCTAAATCTTTGCTCCTCGCTGTGACTGCTATGTTGGGTCATGGAGTACTCATCCTTTCTTGCCTAAGATCAGATCAAGGCTTCTTGCTCCCGCGTGAACGCATTCTCTTGTGTCTGAATAGTTCCCAAAGCTTCTCGTCCCTTCCCTGCCGTATCGGGCTATGGAAAACATTCACTCTCTTCGACTTGCAGGGACACTCTCAGTATCTCTTTAAAGCTTTCCTGTGGGTCAGATAGGTTCATGTGTCTAACTCAGGCTGCTCTTTGCTCGGACTACATTGCTGTCTCCTGAACCAGCCATGCTGGTCTTAAAAAACCTGGTCAAAGTCAATGGTCCCACAATTGTCATCTCTCACACTAAAAACGTTTATGGTGACATCAGTACATCACTATCGTCGCTTGCACATGGTAAGATGTTTTGAGTTTATGCTCCTACTTACTACCGGAAAATATAATAATAGTATTAGAACTATCGAGCTGTCATTAAACTGAGTAACATTATCAAAGCCGAATGATTGGAAATAATGTTACAAACTTACGCATTGAAATCATCATCATCATCAAAAACCATTTCTGCCATTAAACGCCGTGGGGACGAATAATTTGCGATCCAGTGCACTTTGGCTGCCACTAGCTATTTTATGCCGTTTCTTTAACGTTGTCAATCCAGATTTTTCGCAGCGTTGTCTTGCTCTTGTAGTTGATCTTCTGAGAGGTAATGCTTGTGATGGTATTTGATCTTGCTGCATTCTAACAAGATGGTCAAACCACTTGATTTTTTGTTTCTCGATGAATCTAGTACAAGATGTCGTTTCCTGAAATACTGACAACATATCGAATGAAGCTCTTAAAGAACTAAAGAATCGAAGAACAAATGAGGAATCATAGGTGGAAGACTCACATAACCGATCATAAATAGTAGAAGAACTCAGTCGAAGAACCTTGAATGGAATTGGTCAGGTCTTTATATAGCTGACCACTGACGGAGCCGTGCAGATCCATGTGGTAGTGCTGGAGCTATATTACATCGTTCAGAGGTCTATAAACACCAGGTGGAGAGCTACCCGGCGAGTATACTCGGGTAGTGAGCATACTTTATATCTTTTCTGCAGGCGATCTTGGCGTAGTGGGTAATGAACAGGCAGACAGGTTGTTTGGATCTGTGCCAATGAGTTTTGAATTGATACATGACAAAGCAGATGTGGTCAGGACCCTTTGGGAACAAGCAACGAAATAAGTAGAGAAACAAGATTATTATTGCCTGGAGAGAATGAGGCACCTGGGTGTACTCAGAGGGTCTGGCCGGTTCACTACACTCAGAGGAAAGGCAAGACGGACATATAACCAGATTGTGACCGGTACCATCAGTGTTGGAACTCTGCGCTGGCTGCTGAAGATGAGGACGGAGCACGCATGGGAATGCCCAGGGTGCTGTGATGTCAATACTTTACTCGACCCAGCTGACGTAGCCGTGCGTGAGTGTAGCGACTTCATTCGGCTTCATGGAGTTCTGATGTTAAAACGCCCTAGCGCGGTTAAGATGATAGTGGAGTTCTGGGTATATAGTCTGTTTGAGCTAAACTAATCTTGTGTTTGAGCTAGACTGATATTATGCTTGAGGTTAAATAATCTTGTGGTTAAGCTTATCTAATTTTGTGTAAACACAGCCATCACACTGGTAAGGTTTCTTTTATCTTATTGATCGCGTGGGCAACTGCTGATCTGTCGGCGACTTCTGCTACCATCAATGATGAACTGTATTTCTAATGTTGGACTGTTTGTGTTAGCACTTCAGATGGCTACCGTATGCTTAAATGCGAGTGTATGCTAGATATGCTGAGAACGCAGTCTGTCAATCTTTCCACAAGAGACTGTGATAAACATTATGTGTGTTTTTCGTTGGTACAGGAGCGGAGCAAAGATGGGGTGACCCGTTTACTATGACGCTGAAACTAAGACTACCAGACTGCCAGACTACCAGACGGTTCTAAGGAACACACAAGTCCAGAATCTGCTAATGTCGGACTGTTTGTGTTAGCACTTCTGATGGCTACCGTATGCTTTTAATGCGTGTATATGCTAGTGCATATGCTAATACAGAAGTCTGTCAATCTCTCCACAAGGGTCTGTGACGAACATTCTGTGTGTTTTTCGTTGGCACAGGAGCGGGGCAACTCTGGGTTGACCCGTTTGCTATGATGCTGAAACTAAGATTACTAAGATTACCTACCATATCTAGAACCTACTTTACTGCCGTGAAAACATTTGGTTCGATCGTAGGCTCGTGACAGAAATGGTCTATCCCTAAACACAGCTAGATCAACACCGTCTGAGTTTAAACTTGGGTCTTATCACAGGTCAACAACAACAGAAATCACTGCGACAGCTCACCTGGGCGAAAGTGGTGCAGGTTATTATCGCTGTCGTTTACCTGCCCCAAGGCTTACGGTACTAACTAGGGTCAGAACCAAACAGTCCCCCCCCCCCCTCCCCCTCTTTTCAAGTTCTTTCCGACGCCTTTGTCACAACAGTTTGACTGTTGTGCTTCCTGACGGCTGGTATGAACGGACAGACCTCGTCACTTAACCAAACAAAACCCGTCGCGAACAACGTCGCTTAAAGCAATGTTTGACACACAAATGGATTGCTACCTAAGTCGACACCACAACTAAAAACCGGCTAACACGGAAATTGTCCTACAATCCGAAAAAAAAGACGCTTCTGCACAAATACCAGTCGCTAATCACAACATCTAGTTTGAGAATGGAGGTGGAGGCATTCACTGCTGCCTACCGCTAGCTTGAGAATCAGCTATACACATGCTGTGATTGTCACTGACTCACAGAGCATGTTGAGAAAGGTGGAGACAGGCATGCTTCGTGCAGAGTGGCAGGCATGGCTTCAAAGGTCTCCGGTGTTTTGGGAAATGAGCAGACAGATAGACTGGCCGGTTCTGCGCTACTTGGCAGTGTACTGATGTATGACAAGCTAGACGTTGTGAGATCCTTCTGGGAGCCACTGAACAGTGTGGAGGCGCAAATTGATCAATACGGTCTGAGGAGAATGGCTCTGCGAGGAGTTAGAACAGGATCTGGCCGACGCTGAACACTCAACGGAAGGGCGAGATGGATATACAATGAGACAGTTACTGGTGTCATCGGAACTATAACTCTTTGCTTGCTGCTGAATATGGGGACATAGCGCTTATGGGAGCGTCCCGAGTGTTGTGATGTAGATTCTTAATTCAACATTCTCTATTGTTGTTTATTATGGCGAGAGTAAATACGTAGCGTAAATAATATTTGTTTCGTAGTTTCTGAAACAAAAGAAATGTGTACGTTTGAAAGTGACCGATGTCGAACAAAGATGGCGGCAATGAACATCAAGCCGCAAACCACTGTACCTTGTTGTCTGTGTTTGTACTTCATGATTGTACTTGGTAGGTCACATCCAGCCGTAGAGTTCGTTTTGGCTTGACTTCTTTGTCTTCTTGCTCACTGTGACTGATTTCTTACTAAAGTTTTGAAAGCTAATATTCATTTCTGATTCATAACAATCTGGTACAGTAAGTGTAATCTGGTAATCTGGTAATCCTAGTTTCAGCATCATAGCAAACGGGTCACCCCATTGTTGCTCCGCTCCTGTGCCAACGAAAAACACTCGTAGCTCACAGTGTCACACCATGCACTCAACTCAGAAGCTGGGTGACGAAACCATATCCTTCCAGTCTACAAATGGAGCAAAAATGCAACGGCCACCGCCTGGCAGAACTGCCACGGCTAAAAAAAAAAAAAGTGGCCGTGCCTAGCGTCCACTGTGACTTGAAGCATTATGTGAGGGGTTAACAAATGGTCACCCCAGCAGTACCCTCACTATTAGCTGGGAAAGGGACTTAGGACATTACATCCACCAGCAGGCGTCGCCCCTACAACGACCTGACTGCCTTCGTTAACGACTGTTCACCCCAACAGCCATGCAGTTCTTTGGCACGAAGGAGACACCTTGAACTTGGGTTTCGGAATGCCGACTTCCTACAAAATGTTATTTTGTGTTTTGTTATCACAATCGACGTCACTGCACATTAGGCATACCCATGCGTGCGCAGTCCTCCGAAGCAGCAGCCACTCCAAAGTACTTCTACTAATTGTCCCCATGAGAAGCTGGTTATATTGTCTCCTTTCTCGGCCTCGCAGACGGCAAAGACGTGCTTCACCATGCTTAACTCCCATGTCACGCAATCGTGTTAGTGTCAGGGATTCGATATTATCCACTAGCCCAGTACGTACAGCGTTAACGATATCTGATCTGTCCATGCTTTTTCCCGCAATCATTAGTGCTGTGCTTGCCAGTTGGTCCGCTCGCTCATTTCCCTTTACGCCCGCATGACCCGGTATGTAGATCCAGGTTACGGAAGTTAAGTGCGATTTCCGAATGCTTTCTATCCATTCAGAGCGCATACTGCCAGTTGCTATTTTCTGAAGCATATTCATTGAGTCTGAGACAATTACTGCTTGTGTGGCGGTTTGCTCGGATACCCATGCTAAAGCTCTAGAAGCAGCGGCTATTTCCATTGTCATGCTTGACGTGGTTGTCTGGTAAGCGCCGCTGTCCTCATGTATTGTTTTCCCCCTTCTTTGCGCTGTGTATGCCCATGCTGACCTTGATCCGCGCTTCACGGACCCATCTGTGTAGATGATGATATCTTCTGGGTCTGAATGCTGATCTATCAGTTCCCTTA